TCCATTGGACGGATTTGACACGTGCTTCAGAACGCGGTCACGCAAGGGCGTTCCCAAAGTGATCTCGACGCAGCTCGAGTTCCTGAAGGGGAACAATAGATTTTTTAAATCACCAATACATTTTTAGTTTTCAGGATTTTTTTTTTTTTTACCAAACTTTGTATAAAGATGATTCTCAACTATGTTATGACAGAATGATTTGATATACCATTTTTCTTTCTGCAAAATGTGTGTAAAATGGCCATAAACTGGTTTTCTCATTATATACAATGTATCTATAAACTAAATCTAATTTGCATATTAATGTGTTTTTGGGGCAACATGGAATGAAAAAATAAATGTAATAATGGGAGTAATAATTGGCAAGATTTTCATAAAAAACATATAATATTTCATAGGAATATTGAAATATAATTTCTTTCCCTATTAATTTGTTGTGTCTCCCAAAATGCGTAATAAACATGCTTTTAGTCCTGGTGTCCTCATATGAGGACATGTATGAAATCAACATCCTGTTTCGTAACAGAAAGTCATATTTTGATTTGAAACCCCATAACATTTTCCTGAGGTGTTGATTTATGACACAGTTTAAAAATTTGAAAGATTTAAATGATAATTACAAAATGTTATCATATTTCCATAAGAGTGTCACTAAATTAATATCAGACATGTTTGAAGACCAAGGAAAGGGAGTGGTCATAGTGAAACATCCAAACATTTAGTATCTCTGAAAAGCCCTGTATGTGCTCTGTACAGGACATCCAGACTTACAACTGTGGCATGTAGTCTCAGAGAAATACACCAAAATATAATGTCCTCATATGAGGTCACAGGGTCTCAGGAGGTTAAAATAGAAAAGAGCTTTTGAATTGTAATAACATTCCACAATATTACTGTTTTTACTGTATCTTTGATCAAAGAAATGTATCCATGGTGATCATAAGATACTTAAAAAAAAAAAATCTTACCAATACCTAACTTCTGAATGGTGGCGTACATTTTTGTTAATATTTTACTAATATTCTAAACTGTTTACTAGAAGAAAACAGTTTAATGACTACTATCATTTTGTGGTGCAACATATTTGAATTTAAAAACCGCTGGTTTTCAGGTGTATACTCATCACAGAGCGAGTTTATCCAGGATCTGAAGATGATGTGGTTTGGTCTTTACTCTCGATCTAGTGGCAAACTGGACTCCAGCGGGTTTGAGCACATCTTTGCAGGTCAGTCTGTGTGGGAGCACATGTGACTGGCTGTCAAACTGCTTTTTATCTCTCTTTGGCTGACATGTCTTGTGTCAACAGGGGAAATTAAGGGTGGAAAGGTGTCTGGTTTCCACAACTGGCTGCAGTTTTATCTGAATGAGAAACAGGGACTCCTGAATTACTACAGCCATAGTTTTAATGGCCCTGTGAGTACAACTGAGCATGTGAATCAAAACAAACCAGTGCTAGCACAACATGCATTTTAAAAGTCTGGATGTCTACTTGTATTACACGTTTTGATATAGTAAAAGTCAAGTTTCTCCCCTCTCTCAGTGGACCACATATCCTGATGTATTGGGAATGCAGTTTGAATGGGATGGCTATTTCAAAGAGGTTGGTTCTGCCATTATTGGCTCTAGTCCTGAATTTGATCTGGCTATCTACAGCCTCTGCTACATCACCCGCCCTGGCAAGAAGTAAGTTGTTGGTCTTTGCGGTCTGCCTATGCACATTTATTCCTCCATCCGGCCATTCATCAAATGAAACTCATTTTGTTTATATGAGTAAATCAAATTTATATACTCATCTGTTTGACTGTATTCTTCTCAGGTGTTATGTGAGTCTGGGAGGACAGACTCTGGGCATTCAGACCTATACATGGGACAACAGCAGCTATGGGGATGGAAAGAAGTACATTGCCTCTGCTTACCCTGCCACACCATGATTCCCTGTCATCTGAACATCAGTATCAACAGACTCACAACCAAAACAACTTATAAGCAATTTAAATTTTTCTCTTGGTTGTTCGAGGTTGATGTTGGACCAAATAAAACACAAGAATAGAAAAACGCCCTTCCTATCTGTATTTGTACTAATACATAATAATATTCTTTCACACTCTCATTAGCTACAACTTTCAAAAGTGTACACATCTATTAGTCTGTTATTAAAGGGGTCATATGATGCGATTTCAAGTTTTCCTTTCTCTTTGGAGTGTTACAAGCTGATTGTGCATAGATAAGATCCCTGAAGTTGCAAAGACTAAAGTCTCAAAACCAAAGAGATATTCTTTATCAAAGTTAAGACTCTGCCACGCCCCCCTAAAACGGCTCGTCCTAACACGCCCCCAGATATCTACCTCACTATGTGGAAATATTAGCATAATGCAGCCCAAATGTGCACGCAAAGAAAGAAGGCATGGTTTCAGTAACCGCAGTTAGTGTTGAAACAGCATGTCAGGGAGACGCTGTGTGTTTCAGTGCGAAAGCAAAAGCACTTTATTTGGCCTTCCGAAAGTAGATGCATTTAGGAATCTTACTTACAACAGAACAGCAATGCATTCTATGGACGACCGTTTAGTGAACCTAGGAGAGGAGGTAATTCTGACTTTGCTATGACAATCTGGCGCTTCCTGAATCAGCTACTGTTTGTTATTAGTTTAAGTATTTGCTATTGATTGTTCAAATGCAGAGTTTTCCGCATCGTGTGTGTGTGTGCTCGAGCGAGCGAGAGAGAGAGAGAGAGAGTGAGAGAGAGCGAGAGAGA